AGAATGGTTGGTCATGCTGTCAATTCTGTTAAAATCAGGGTGGGTTGTTGTTTATTTTCAGGTGGGTGGGAGTGTGAGCTCTGGGAGCAGAGTCAGCCCTTCCTTTTGAGGAGGGAGGGAGTGATTTGATCCAGGAGGTGGGCAAAAGGGGGTGGAACCCCCTTTCCCCCCCAGCACAGGGTGAGTTCAGAGCATTAGCAGAGCCACACCTGGGTTCATGCTCCTGTTTCAGGGCACTGGGCTGGGGAGGTGCCAGGGAACCTCCTTCATTAATCACTTTACAGACTATTTAGACAGAAAGGAACAACAACAAAAATAAATAGTCTGCTTCCATGAGGGGAAAACAGGGAAATAAACTGATTTTTGCCAAGATTTGAGTATTACATGGGAAGATTTCGACCCAAATTAAAATGTATCTTAAGTTTTTGCTGTGATTTCCTTCTCCTCCCCAATTCCTCTCTGTTGATCTCTTGCTGGAGCTGCAGGAAATGCCTGGTTTGACCTGCAGGGTCCCAGGTTGCTTCTCATCATGGACAGGAAGAGAAGGCAGAGAGGTGAGGGCTGTTTGAGGGGCAGCAGGACACGGGGCTGCAGGCAAAGCTGAAGAAGAACCCTTTGATGTTGGGACCTTCTTGCCCTTGTAAACGTGAAGCCAAAGCCAGAACTGAACACCCTTTTGTTCCAGGATGTCTGAGCAGAGGATACAACCTCAGCCAATCCCTGCTGAGCACCAGAGAGCTCCTAACACCAAGGACCAGCTCTGGAAATCTCCTTGGAACTCTGCTTTCCTGGCAAACCAGGAGCCCCCTCCAGCTCAACATTTTGCACCCAGCAACTTGTTTCTCAAGTACTTTTTGCACCAGCAGCTTCAGGGTTCAAAATCCTTCCTCGTCCTGCACAGACTTTGTCCTTTTTAGGTGTTTTCCAGCTGTCATGGGCCTTTTTAGGGTAATGTTGGGCCCTGCTGTGAGTCAAGCTGGATCTGGGAGGTGACTCAGTCCCTCCTGACCTCTGCTTCTTGCCCTGCACATCTTCCCAGGCTAAAAGCTTCCTCCTTCAGGGTGATGCATTTAGAGCAGCCAGACACTTCTGTCTGAGGGTAATGAAGCTGTTACACATGGCTGAGTGAAAAATCATTCAGGCTGTGGCTTTTCCTTTCTCCTTTGTCACAGGAGATGCTTTCTCTGGTCATCCAGTGAGTGGTTTGCATGGGAAGCAGCTTCCAGCTAGTTAATCATAGTGTCATGGAATGGTTTGGGTGGGAAGGGACATTAAGGATCATCCAGTCCCAACCCCCTGCATGGGCAGGGACACCTCCCACCAGCCCAGGCTGCTCCAAGCCCCATCCAACCTGCCCTTCAACACTGCCAGGGATGGGGCAGCCACAGCTTCCCTGGGCAACCTGGGCCAGGCTCTCACCACCCTCACACCAAAGAATTCCCTCCTCATCTCCAACCTCAATCTCCCTCTTCCACTTTTCATCCATCCCCCTCATCCCATCCCTCCCTGCCCTTGTCCCAAGTCCCTCCCCAGCTTTCCTGGAGCCCCTTCAGGCACTGGAAGCTGCTCTGGGACATGGTGGGATTTGATGGATTTGTCAAGGTCTGTGCTGGAGCCTGAAGCCTGGCAGGCTGCACAGCCAATCCAAAGCACTCAGGTGATTCACTGTCCCATGGAGGGGCTCAGAAATTAACTCCTCAAAGTCTTTCTCTTGACATGATTTGCACACCAGAACACCACTGCCTTCCACAGATGGTGCAGCCCTGAGGTCCCAGCTTTGTCATTGCAGAAGATCTGGGAATGCAACATCTTGGTCTGGCACCAGCTCAGTGCCAAAATGTGCCACCCTGGGGAGTCCAGGTAACCTCCTGGCATCTGCCAACCTGTTCCCTGCTGTGTCCTGGCCAGGCTGCTGGGTTGGCTTCTAGTTCAACTTCTGGGTCATTTTAATGCCACAGAAGGGAAGTCCTGGTTTGGGTCGTGTCCTGTTTGTGAGGGCTCGTGGATTCCTCTGTTTCTTTGGGTTTCCTCAAGTGGTGCTTCAAACTGGCCCACCCTGGATGGCTGGTTTGCCCAAGGCCAAGCTTGGCTTTGTCCCCAAAGCTGGGATGAAGAGCCAAGAGGCAAAAGAGCCTCTTTTAGGAACTGGTTTGACCCAGTGATGGAGACGTGACACGTGCCAAGCAGCACGAGGGTGTTTGCCCTGGTGCAACAACCAACCTGAAACTCAGAGATGCACATGATCTGTGTCCCAAACTGCTGCAGGGGCAGAGAGGGACCACAAAGCATCTCCTCTGGGAAACTTCTTCTTCTTCTTCCCCACATAAGTATAAACAAAATGCCTTTTAAGCCAGGAAAGGCCTTCTGCTGATTATTTCCAGCTAACAGACTAAACCCAGGTCTGCTGCTCAAGGACAAATGACAGCAGGATCTCCCAGCTGCTCTTGATGCCACCTGGGTCACTGCTGTCCAGATTCCCTGGATTTCTCCTACATCACAACCTCACTGGTGGGGTCTGGGTACCTCTCACCCTGACACAAAGCCCACCCAGGGCTGTGCAAACAGCTTTTATGTCCCCACTCCCCTTGGTCCTTTTGATAGACACCAGGGACAGTCCAAGGGTTCCAAAACCAGGAAGAGGTGGCAGCACCTGCTAGTGAAGGAGAAAGCAGGTGGAGACTTGGTTTCCCTTCACTTTTTTCCCCTTTAAATACTATTTACTTCTGGGTGCTGCAAGATTGGGTAAGAAGTCAAAATAAATGGATTTGCAAACTATCTCAGTAACACAGAGATGTGATTAAGTGGAAAACGTGGCCTGATCCTGTGGGTTTGGTTTGGGGTTTGAGTAATAGAGTTATCCAGCTGTGTTTGGAGAGCAGTGCAATGATGTGTCACATTCCAGGTCCCTGCCCATGCTGCTGATTTTAGGGGAGGAGGGTTTGAACCCAGGGTTTGGAGCTGTGGGAATGTTGTTGATTCTGCAAGGGTGGCTCTGTATTTTTGTCCTGGAGTTGGGTATCAAAGTTTTCCTTCATCTCAAGAGGTCCCTTTGTGTGGCTCACTGGTGGGTTTCCAAAGGCACATCCTTCTTTTCATAGGATCATGGGATGGTTTGGGTTGGAAGGGACCTTCAAGATCATCCAGTCCCAACCCCCCTGCATGGGCAGGGACACCTCCCACCAGCCCAGGCTGCTCCAAGCCCCATCCAACCTGCCCTTCAACACTGCCAGGGATGGGGCAGCCACAGCTTCCCTGGGCAACCTGGGCCAGGCTCTCACCACCCTCACACCAAAGAATTCCCTCCTCATCTCCAACCTCAATCTCCCTCTCCCACTTTTCATCCATCCCCCTCATCCCATCCCTCCCTGCCCTTGTCCCAAGCCCCTCCCCAGCTTTCCTGGAGCCCCTTCAGGCACTGGGAGCTGCTCTAAGGTCTCCCTGGAGCCTTCTCTTCTCCAGGCTGAACACCCCAACTCTCCCAGCCTGTCCCCAGAGCTGCTCCAGCCCTCCCAGCATCTTTGTGTCTCCTCTGGACTCTCAGACCCATCCCCTCTTGCTCCTGATGAACAGCACAGAGCAGCTTCTGGAATTCTCTCTTTTCATTACAATTAATTCTTAGGTGTTCCTTGCACTGAGGGTTAGATGGAAATTCATTTCCAGTGCATTTCTTCTCTTGAACAGCCTTGGAATGTATTTATTCCTCTCTCCTGGAGCCTTCAGTTTATCTTTGTCCCTGGGATCTGCGACACTCGTGCAAGTTGGGTGTGCAAGGAGCTTAGTGCCCTGGTTCCTGGGTGGAGCTGGGTGGTGACACTGGCTGTTCCCACGTGGAATTGCAGCTGGATTAACACTGTTCTGATGCTGCTTGGACAACAAGGGTTTGGGGTCTAATGGAGACCACAGCCCTGTTAGCACCAGCATGTCCAGCAGAGCTCCAGTGTGACCCTAAGGTTTGCTCTGCAGCCCCTTGCACAGGGCAGGGCTGCTCCCAGGCACAAACCTGCCCCAGCACTCAGCAGCAGGAGGAGACCATCTCCTACCTGCTTTTGGAAGCCTTTTTATCTGGAGACATGGGGTAGATTTCTGTGGATCTCAGGGCTGCTTTTCCCACAAAAGCTTCCCAATGTTCTTGCAGCTGCAAAGCCAAAGAAGCTTGGCCTTTCTGGATGGATAATCCAGAATAAATCACTCTGTGTATCAGACTTTTTTCCCCCTTATTTATTGGTGGATTTCCCTACTGAAACCTCAGCCATTTAAGGGGGCAGATGAAGCCACAATTTGTTCCCTGGACTCTGGATCTTTACCCCTTTTGCAAACAAACTCGAAGCCTGAAATTGTGAAACTAGGAGAACAACTTGGGTTCTGTTTTCTTTAATAATCCAAACACCTTCTCCACTCCCTGGGATGGGGTTTGGTAACCTGTTACCCATGAGGCAAGACAGTTTGAGGCAGCATCTTGCAAGACTCTTGTGTACCAGGGAATGTTTTGCTGATTCCTGATTCCCAGGAGGCTGGAAAGTTGGACTGGGACCCCAGGTCACCAGGAAAACAATCCACCAGTTTGAGGAAGCAGCTTTTCTCCTCTGCAGGGCCTCACTCCTGAGCTCCTGGGCTACTTCCCCAAGGCATCATTGTGACATGTGGCTCCTCCACATCACCTGGGGCTTTTCCCCAGCAGCAAAGTGCACACCTTAGAATCCTATTGCAAAGGATTCATTTCATTTTAATGAGTGCCCTTAGGTATCAAGGCATCACGTCACCCACTGCTGCTGTTTCACTGGACATTTGGCTTCTAGATCCGTGTCAAACAGATATATAAGAAGGTGGTGAGAGCCAGAAGCAGGTTGGGAACAGCCACAGCTAAAGGAAAACCTCTGAACCTCCCCTGGGCAGCTGCTTTCTTAGGGCTTGGGTGCTTGGTGTTAGCAGAGGTGATGGAGGTAAATGGAAATGAGATGAAACCTCTCACTCTACTCATCAGGGGCTGCAGTTTCATGATCATGTATGAAGCAGGAGTGGTCAAAGCCTTGAAGGATTTGTCACCTGCCATCCTGAAGTCTGCAGCCAGGATCTATGGAGCATCTTCAGGATCTATTATAGCTACACTTGCCGTGTGTGAGTGTGATACAGGTAAGGACTGTGCATTTACTTCTGTCTAAAGAGACATTCTGGAGTTGCAAAAGATCATTTTGTGTTCTCTTCTCCTTAAGCAGTGGCCAATTCCTCAGGATTTTACTTCATGGACTTCTTTGGGAGTGGAAATGAGTAATTTCATAAGCACAGATCGAGTTATTCAAGAAGTCATTGCATCTTATCCATTTGAATTCATGATAAGCACATCTCATAAAAGAGACCCTCCCCAATTTGCAGTTGTTAGAAGATTCCCAAAACACAGAGGGGGAAGGAAAAGATGGAATTAGGAGAGGATTAGTGTTGCTGTTGCATGAAATGAAAAAGAAAGGTATAGTCACAGAGCTGAGAAATACCTTAGGAGGCAGAGCCAACTATTATCCAGAGGCTTCCTGCCATTTTCTTCCATATCTCCAAAACTTTTCTGACATCTTGGAGGAACTGGAGAGGAATGGGAAAAGAAAACAAAATACTTTTGCTTCCTGCAGTCTTGAGGGTCTTGGGAAAACCTGGATTCACTCATGAGAGCTTCAGCCCTAGTGAAAATAATGTCTCTTGATGAGCATTTACCAGCAGGGTATTTGTGTATTTTTTATATAAAATATAAAATCTATTTTTTTATATATAACCACCTTTTTCCAGGTGGAAAGGCAGCCCCAAACTACATAACTAATGCTGTAAGAGATGTGGAATGATTGCTTTGCTTTGCTTTAGATGAGGTGAAGAAGTACTTCTACAGTGCTTTGCCCAGGAGTTTCTGGGGGTTTGTTCCTGGAGGAAGAATGATTCAATTCCTGAAGGACACCTTAGAGAAATACCTGCCTCCAAATGCCCACCAGCTGGCAACTGGGAAGCTGCACATCATCCTCACCAGGCTGCGGGACTGGAGGTGCATGGTGGTCTCAGAGTTTGCCTCCAGGGAGGAGCTCATCCAGGTGAGAGCAGGCACAGCATGGGAGGAGCTGCTGGGACCTGCTGCCTGGGATCTGCTGCCTGGGACCTGCTGCCTGGGATCTGCTGCCTGGGACCTGCTGCTTGGGACCTGCTGCCTGGGATCTGCTGCCTGGGACCTGCTGCCTGGGACCTGCTGCCTGGGATCTGCTGCCTGGGACCTGCTGCTTGGGACCTGCTGCCTGGGATCTGCTGCCTGGGACCTGCTGCCTGGGA